AAGCATAAGCACATAATTCAAATTTTATTTTAATATATTTTTAAAATTATTAATTAAAAGTATATATGTATATATTTATTTTTTTAAAAAAATTAATTAAAAATATATGCATTTAATTAATAATTTTAATAAAATATTGTTTTTTATTTTTCTAAAAAATTATAATTTTAATAAAATCTTTGATGATTTTTTTTATTATTTACTCTCTCACCATTCATCTATGATCTAACCTAAAATAAAATTTTTGATTAAAATTTTATATAAAAAATAAATTATATTTAGTTATTGTCAAAGCATGAGCACATAATTCAAATTTTATTTTAATACATTTTTAAAATTATTAATTAAAAATATATATGTGTATATTTTTTAAATTATTATTTAAAAATATATTTTTAATTAATAATTTTAAAAAAATATTTTTAAAAATTATATAATTTTTATAAAATATTTGATATTTTTTATTATTTACTCTCTCACCTTTCATCTAACCTAAAATAATTTATTGATCAATATTTTATATTTCCTTTCCATATTATTCTTTCTTTTTTATTCAACGGCTATCCAACGGCTTGTGTTCACTTGCCGTAAGTTAATGGTTGTATTTTAGAAGCCTCATAATTCTTAAGTTAGTTGATATTTTTATTAAAAAAATTCAGCGTCAAATCAGAACCGTTAAATTTCAGTCAAATATTTTTTATGACTTAATAAAAAAATAAATGTACAAATTATGTATCAAAAAATATTTTAGTGAATAATTTTTTTTTATTAGAAATAGGTATATAACGTTTTCTCATTTATATTTTTTTTATTTTTTTATTTTTATAAATAAAAATATTATTTTTAAAAGATAAAGTAAAAAAACTTTATTTATTCATAAAAACACAAAGTTTTTTAAAAATTACAAAATAATTTCGGTTTAGTTTTCACCGGAGCTTCAAAGCTTCCTCAATGCAAACGGTAGAGTTACTCGACGAGAAGACGGTTGGGTTTTCTCGGTGTGAGACGACTTTCTTATCGGGAGAAACGGTGATGATCACGACTGTCGAATAAGGGTTCGATAGTGAGAAACAACGAATGATTTCTTATTGTTTTGTGACGACCGACGATTAATTTTTGATGAACGTTGATTGGGATTTAGATCGCGAGACACCGACGAAGCTATTGGTGGTGACGGTGTACACCACCAGTTGTTGGTCGCGGTGGCGTTTGGAAAAGGGTAAAAGAGAAGGGAGCATGGGATGGGTGGGTTTTGTTAAAGGTTTTTTTTTATTAAAAATATTTATTTAATACAAAATATTTAAAAAAATTAAATTTTTTAAATAAATTCTCAAAATAATAAGAACATGACATATGTCATTTAATGAAGATTTTCAACGGTGATTAATGTCTGACACCTAAAAATGTAATGTTATAAACATTAAATATATTTTTTTAACAAAAAAATTCTTTAGATATTAAAATATTTTTCGAGACATAGTTTGAGCACTTATTTTTGTATTAAGCCTTTTTATTAGGGTAAACTACACGAGTGACCACTAAACTATAGTAAAAAAATCATTTTGACCACCGATGTTTCAATTTGATCAAACAGACCATCTAACTATTTAAATTCTTCAATCAAACTACATGCGGTTAGCAGTTAATGGAACATGTGACGTGACAATTAAAAACATTTTAGTGTAATTACACAATTGGTCTATGTTATTTATATATTCTTTCAATTTGGGCCTCATTTTAATAAATTAAAATAATGATATTGTCATCATTCGATTGAAATACTAATTTATTTTAATTTATAGATTTACTTTCCTCCAATCAGAGGTTGACACCCTTTTACTGAAAGAAAAGAAATCAACACATAAGTGGATCAGGGGATGCACCAAACCATTTGGGCTAAGGCATCTATTTGGTTAACTTTATACAACAAATAATATATATATATATATATATATGTATTTTAGTAAAATTTTCTTTAGACAACAAATAATATAATTAATAAATAAAAAATTAAGAATATTTTTTTACATTTACAAAAATAGGAATACATAAAAATATTAAAATAATAATAAAATATTTTAAGTTAATATATTTTAAAATTTAAGATAAAAATAAAAATATATTTTTAAGTGAAGATAAAAATAAACTATATTTAATAGGTTAATACAAAAATAAAATATATTTAATAAGTTAAGAAGAAAATAAAAAAATATTTTAAAAATTTAAGAATTCAGATATATAAAATATTTTATTCATATTTTTTGTAAATATAAAATATTATATTCATATTATATTAATAAATATATATAATATTAAATTATATAATTAAAGAAAAATTTTAATATGTTTATATGTAACACCCCAACCTATACCCTACATGGATACGAATCCGATGTGTCACATCGACTTTTCAAAACATTATTTTTACAAAAGAACTAAAATTTCAGTTCGGATTGAAAATAAAATTTAATAATTTACATCAATTACAACGATAAAATTTTATAAAATCAATCCGAGCAAATCTTGTTCAAACCTTTATTTACATGCCAACTACTTTAATATAACAAAATAAATATTAATAAAATGCTTTTCTGATCTGATATCCGTAAAGGAGAATCTGACATGTCTTGTTTCTCTTTGCTCCTCAATCTTCTCAAAACCTACGTGTGAAACACTCACACGCTAAGTCGATGACTTAGTGAGGCATATAACCAATTAATATCACTATAATTACTTAACAAATGCATGTACACATCATGTAACACAATGGTTGTATACACACATATATAATCATTAACATGCTTATCATTACTTATATTATTATCACTAATTCCTTTTTATCATGTGAACATGTACTTAACATTTCTTTACACATCATAGAACATGTATATCATTTCACAAAAGAGCACACATAGTATCATACCAATTGATTTATTATTCTCTTTAAAGCCCATGTACATTTCTGAGAACTTAAGGTATGTGAGTACATAGAGGTTGTACTTATATGCTGTCATCACATCTCATAAAATTCTCACTAGGGGCACATAGAATTTGTCTCGAAGGGCCACATATAACACATATGTCCCGAATGACCACTCCTTAAGGACCACATACATATTTCAATGGATCAAATAAGTGTACCTGAAGTACCACATATATGTTCCAAAGGATTACATATATGTCTCGAAGGACCACGTAGAACCCTCAACTCTTGGCATACCAACTATACCCCCTAGCTCTCATAAACATAACATGGGCATTATTATTTATGTTATCACCCATTCACATCACATATTCACAATTATACGACTTCTATAAATATTGGAGTTCGAATCGTTATATATAATCAATAGAACATAGGCTGAAAGAAACACTTAACTTAATATTTTATACTCCATAGTATGGGTACTCCCCATAAAGTACTGATACTACTCTTTTATGGTATCGATACCCCTCCTCGGTACCAATATCATTTTTACATTCGATATCTACAATTTGATAATGGTATCGATACTAGATAATTGGTACCGATACCCCTTCAACCAGTACCGATACCACCTTTAGGTATCGATACTTCTTAAAGATTTTATCCGATTTTATCATATGTTATCGATATTGTTCTTTCAGTATTGATACCCAAGCTAAATTTCTACTCATTTTGCTTTGGAAGTATCGTACTGGATGAACAATACCGATATCTCATGCCCATAACTTATTCTTTTAACCTTAAAAATCGACCATACTCAGCTAAATTCCTTATTTTACTCTTCTTTCAAGCTTTTAAACTCAACCACACTTAATCAAATCAACTATTTTCACTTTAACTCATCTTAACCTCCCATATCTAACTTGTACACTTGAATTCAATAATCATGCCAATAAATCAACATGTTTTTAATTCATTTCTATCACTTTGAATCTCTTATTCTAACTGATGACAAGTCAAATTCAAATTCAAAATCCATTTACTCTTTCTTTCTCAACAATTCACTTAAAAACTTATTTTACTTAATCTCTCATAACTTGTCCATCTTTTAGTTTTTACTTATCTTAAAGTTTCCTTAAGCTTTCCTAATTCCCAAAGAATCAAAACCAAACTTAAAATGAAAGTAATAATCACTAAGAAGTATGCTCACCTTATGCAAAAACCCATGGTGGAGAGGAAGAAGAAAACTGAAGAAGACTCTAGATAAGCTTTCTCCCATTTCCCACTTGCTTTATATCACTTAAAGAGGGAAGATAAAAATCTTTCCTTTGAAAAGACCATAATACCCTTCCAATCATCCAACTTTGATATCAAGTCCTAAACAAAATTTCCAAAATAAATCCTTGAACTATTCAAGTTATTCAAATTAAACCACAAAACTTTGAATTCTTACAATTTGGTCACTAGCCATGTTTTTAGGATGTTACATTATATATTTACAATTTTTTATTAATGTAATATTTTTAATTTTTATTTATCAGTTATATTATTTGTTGTATGAAGTTAACCAAATAGATGTCTTGGCCTAATGGTTTGGTGTTTTATCCTTCAACTTAAGATATCCTTGGTTCAAATCCCTTTAACCTTCTTCTGTGTTACCAGATGTGTCACCATCTTGTTTGAGAAAATTAAATTTATAAATTAAATATAAATTAAAACAAACTAGTCTTTCAAATAAATGATGATACATGTTATTATTTTAATTTATTAAAATGAAGACCAAATTAAAAGAATATATAAATAATATTGACCAATTGTATAATTATACCTAAATGTTTTTAACGACACATCACTTATTCCGTTAACTATTAACGACAAGTGACTTAATTAAATTATTTAAATAGTTGAAAAATATATTTGATCAAATTAAAACATCAATCATTTTGGCCATAGTTGAGTAGTAATCCGTGTATTTTCTTTTTTATAATTAAAAAACGTATACTTGCCGTAGAAATGCATTTAGTCCCGAATTTTTTATATTTTAATTCATCTTTTCCCTTTTCTGCCTACAACATTCAATAAAACCCTAATTGACGGAACATTTTCTCTTACATCTTCAAAATCCTCAAACCCCATCTCTTTTCTGTTTCTCCTATGGCGACACCACGTGAGGAGAGTAACCCGTACGACGGCGGATTTGGAGCCGGTGGAAAGTTCAGGAAACGGCCGTTTAGGAGGACAACTCCGTACGATCGACCCCCAACCGCAATTAGGAACCCCAACGGTAGCGGAGATAGAACTGGTTGGTTATCGAAACTGGTGGATCCAGCGCAGAGGCTTATTACTTACAGTGCTCACAGGCTCTTCGCCTCCTTCTTTAGGAAACGGCTTACTCCTTCGCCGCCTCATCCACCGGAAGCGCCGGTGTCAGGTGAGGTTTATTCCCCGACTCTCTTTCATTGTTTCTAATTAGAAAGAACACTTTTTTTTGGGTAGTGGGAATGGGCTCGTTCTTGTTTCTTTATTGATGGGAGTTTCGAGTGGTAGTTTGTTAATATCTGCTTCGGAATTTGTTGTTTCTAATTGATGAGAACATTTGAGAATCATATTTTTACTTTTGCGTGCTACCCCTTGAAATTTTGAGAATAATTGTTACTATGAATAATTATAATTCTCTTTATCGTTGTGGCGGTGTTATTGAAATGAAAGCAGTTTTTTTCTTCTTTTTTGGGTGATATTATTTATTAGTCAATGTATGTTTCATTTGAAAATGAATAACTCACTAATGGCCCTAATAATTGCTGAGAACCTGTGCGGCTGTTCCTAATTTCCTGATGTTGCTTTAAACCGGAAATTATGTGTACTTATTTAACGAATGAAGATGTCAAATATGCTTTAAAATTTATAATATTTTACTTAAATATCTTATTGTAAGTTAATGATGGAGATATTGTTAGCCACAGTTAATTATAGATTGGTAATTACGAAATGTTAGTCTTTTATGAGTTATTTATGTCTGGCATCTAGAAATTTGAATTATCATTAATTAGATTTTGTTTTTTTGGTGATGTTGATTAAACATTGCATGTAATAATCTCATCAGAGACTAATCAGGAAGCAAAGGAGAATTCACCTGCAGCAACTTCAACAGTAAGTATTCAAATTACATATTTAAGCCTAGCGTTTATGTTCCTGTTAGCTTGATTAAGGATCTCGGTCAAACTAGTTCCTTATTTTTGGTTTTAATATTTTTTCAGCTGAAAAATGAATAATTATTAACTGCAAACTTTGAACGTATAGAGCTAATTCTTTTTTTTTTTGGAAACTTTGAAGTTTGAACATGTAGTACTAAAATTTTCGTTCTTCAATATTATTGTATGTAGAAGATGCTATGTTCTGGTATTATCTTGGAGTTGGGTACTAAAGTCTGTCAGCTATACATTCAAGTTCAAACATTTTCTTTGTTGGAAGATTGATTTGGCTCTAGGTTGCATTACAGAAGTTGAATTTGAAAGAATATATTTGGGTTTTAAATTCGGTACAAATTGTGTGATGGACTACATAATAACATGAATGTTGTGATAATTTTCAAATGCATGGGTTTGTCGAAAGAGGAATTTAAGATTCATATTCTTATACCCTCTTAGATACAATGTTGAATCTTTTAACTGATTTCTGCAGAGTGTTTATCTTCACAATCTATTATCACAGACCTCTTCTTTCTTAATTTGCGTTCTCATATATAGGCACATAACATTACTTAATTTACTTTGCGATTGATTTTGAGTGCAGTTGCATTACTATGGAAATTTTAGGGTGTTTTTGGCTTCTTAAAACATTTTCTGTTTGCATTTTTTTTAAAACGTCGGTTGCTTATTTTTTGATTTCTTGAATATTCTTTCAGTATCTAGAATAACTGTTTCGAAGTATCAAAATTGTGAAAATATTTGGTATCGGAATATTCTTAGCAGTACGCACTAAGAATGTTTGACAAACATGAGTAATTTTAATATCCTTAAATCAGGATCCGTTTTGGTTTGTTTGACATTTCTATAAGAACTACCATTTGATAAAACATTTGTGAAGAGAAGCTAAAATAATGTTTCTCTAAGTTAATAGAGAAGTACTGTAGGATGTAGAAAAGTGTGATTTTCTTTAAATTTGTTGAATTTTTTCTAATAAAATAAGAGACTTAAACTTCATTAAACCAAATGAGTTTTAAAATTAAAAAAAAAGTTAAAATAACTTTTATGAAGTGAAACTTAGAGCAAAGATGATTAATGGGCAATTTTTTATTAAATTTGTACATGATCATATGCTTTGTTTGGCTAGAAAAAAATGTGTCCACCATAGTGTATGCTTGTGTTCATATTTTAGCGTCAATGTAGCTTGATGTATTTCTGTTTTGTGCTCTATTACAGTCATCAAGCTTTGTCTCTAAGGCAATGACATGTTGAGGTAAATTGCAATTTACAAAGTCAATCATATTGGGATCCGATTTTTTTGAAAGCCATCATCAGGCTGTGTTTTGCTGTACCTCACCTCATTGGGGAATTTAGCTTGAGGAATCCATATGGCTTGTTACATCATTTCATCATTAACCACTTTCAGCTTTCTCTCCATTGTTTCATTCTTAGTTTTCAGGCTACAACCTCTCATCTATTCACCAAACACTTGTTAGATTTAATGCAGTTGTAAGTGTGACATAGAGTGCTCGTTTTTTAAACTAGACACATGCTTCACTTGGTATGCTTTGGAACTACATAAAATAGATAGTGGCTCACGTGCCCCAAGTGTTAGGGACAGATTTGTCCGAAGTGGTCATATCTCACCTTTATTCATTATGAGTGTAGAAGTTATGTTCTTGTAAACCATCTATTTTGGGATATGTTATTGTTCTTATGATTTTTTCATTTCTCACCTTTATGATTTCTCTATAATGACCCCAACTTATGTACTGTCAATTTTTTTTAATTTGTCCACACAGGATCCTTTTATTGTGCAAAGAGCCAATCTGGAATGTGGGAAATGCCAGTAATCATGCTGATGAAGGTGGAGTTGCTGAACTTGAAGAAATTTTGAAGCACAAGACATTTACGAGGCAAGATGATCTATAATTGCATCCTATTGATGTCAAGCTGAAATGAATGGTTAATTGCACTACTTTGTTTTAAGATATTGTCAACACACCTTTTCGTCCTACTAGGATTCAAACTCCTAAAAATAGAATATAATTTTGCTAGGATTCAAATTCCTAAAAATAGGATAGAGTTCTACTATTATTTAAACTCCTAAAGATAGGATCCACAAGCATTATAAATAGCCATTGTAACTCACTATTGTAACACAGAAGAGGATATACGAAATACCAAGCAAAAAAATTACAAGCAACTCGTAGCCATTTTTCGAAGCATTTATATTTTGAAAGGTAAAGTTCATACCTACGCATGTTATTTTTCCTTACCCTTGCTGTGTTTTGATTCGAAAGAAAACTGAGAGAAGTGTTTTTGGCCGATAAACGGGGGCGTTTTCGAGATCTATTTTTGTAGATCTAGTCCCCGAGGCTTGTGTTTTTGAAAAACTATTGGATTTTTATAAACGGGTCGTGTGGATCCGCGTGTTTTGTCATTTTTTTTTCGATTGGCTTTTAATTTTGACCCCCTAATTCATTTTTTATTTTAATTTAACCTTTATTATTTATATGTATATATATATATATAATTATATTTTATTTATTTATTTATTATATTTTTTTTCATTTTTCTTTGCATTATATTATATTATTTTCCTATTATATATATATATTATATTATTATTTTTTATCTATGTTTACTTATTTACTATTTTTTTATTATATTTTCCTAACGGTATATATATATATTCTTACTTCATTTTATTTTATATTTCTATGATTACTATTTTTTAGTTAATATTATATGTATATTTATTTTCATTTATTTATTATTATTGTTACTATTTAGTATTTTATTATATTATACATACATTTTTATATTTTTATATATTTTTTATTTTATTATTTTATTTATACTATTTATTTATTTTAATTATATTTTTAGTTTCTTTGCTCTTATTATTATTTTTCTTTTTTTTAAAAAAAACACTTTACCTTTTTTTATTCTTTTTTGTATATATATATTTTTTCTTCATTTATTTTATTTTATTCAATTTCATTTTTTTTATATTTGTTTCATCTAATTATTTTATGTTTATTATTATTGGTTTCATTTATTTTTTTGGTTTATTCTTCAGTTTTGTTACTTTCTTTTATTATTATTATTTTCTTTTAACATCTTATTTTAATTTTTTAAGGGTATTTCCGTAAACTCATAAAATGGTAAGTAATTCGGATCAAATTTTACCTTTTAATTTAACTTGCAATTTTCTTAATCAAAGACAACTGGAAATTACGTAGTACCGAAAAAGCAGTTCAAGGGTGCTAATCATTTCTTGACCGTAACCGACTCCCGAACCCGACACATCTTTGGAAAGACGCAGATCAGGTAAGAAATAGGGTATCCGATCAATCTATTTGTTTTAAATAAATGATCGGTGGCGACTCCCAATCCACATTTTTCCTAAGTCGAAGCCCAATTCGAGGCCCAATCGAAAGACGGTTGCGACAGATATCTTTGCTAAATCAAGTTGGTGGCATTTACTCTGATAATTTGCAATTTGTGATTGTATACTCTCGTGCTTTAGGACTCAGGAGTTTCCTTTTCTCTCAGCTTCCTTCACCTGGAAGAAAGGCTGAGAGTATGAATTCGATTGAATCTTTTCAAGAATTTGCTTATTCTAGTTATTCTTGCAACCTTTTACTGCGCTACCTAATTTCCAATCTGTACATGCTGGTGTCATGCTTTGTGATTTTCCTTCATGCTTCAGCTTTAATGGGAATAAACTTCACCTTCCTTATTTTGGCGGGTGTATCATATTTCTTTATGCTTGGCTAGTAACACTATCGACATGAATTTTCTTAGTTCCATATTGAATATTTTTCTTCTTCTTTTGCAGATCTGAAATTGATCGTTTGACGAGTTTGCTACATTCAAGAACTGTTGATTTTCCTGGTGAAAATGAATACATGGTTTCTAAATTGAAACCAGTGGTATCATGTGACAAGGAAGAAAAGATTCCAGAGACCCCGGTTAGAGAAAATGGTACTGAGAACCATCTCATTTCTAATCCTGTTGTCTGCTCAACTGTAAGGAGTTCTCTATCCTTCATATTGCTTTTGAGTTACATACCCTTAGGTGGCTTTTACTATGTATTATTTAAAATTAAAAGATAGAAAATAAAACTTCCATGGTATTACAGGTCCTTGATGAGGATGTTGCTTCACCTGCTGAGCTTGCAAAAGCTTACATGGGCAGTAGGCCTCAAAAAGCATCTGTTTCTATGCTTAGATCACACAATAAAGTGCCTATGGCAGATTCAGCTTTACTTAACAATAGAAGTTTCCCTACTAAGTCACCCATAACGTCTCTTGTGCCAAGATCAGGCCATGTTGGGAGTCCTGGAAATGGTTTTGTGACCCCAAGATCAAGGGGCAGGTCTGCAATATATAGCATGGCATGGACACCTTATTCCAGAGCTAACTCGGGAGTTGTTCTCAAGGTTCAATGCTCGACAATCAGTTTCTTTTTCATAATTTCTTATTATGTTTCTTATTATAGATGTTCGCTCCTTCCCTAGGGTGCTGGAACTGCAAGTAGTGCTTTTGGTGGACCATCATCGTCGTCTCGGAGTGCATGGGAGCAAGATAGAATTTCCGGCTCTACTCAAGGGGTACTGATTCAGGATCATTATATTCTCCTTTTGAGTTTCTTAACTAGAGAATTTCACTGGATATATTTCTTTCCCTTGCAGGTTTTAAAGCGCAGGAGTTCAGTGTTAGACCATGATATAGGATCAATTGGCCCTATTCGCCGGATTCGTCAGAAATCCAACATTCTTTCTTCAAAACACTCTATCTTACCTGTTTCTGCTAATGCTCTATCTGTGCACATAGCTGACACTAGTTCAGCTGATCTAAATCCTCTAGCTGAGATTGGGTATAACAGCACTCCTGGCACTAGTTTTACCCCTGTTCCATCCAAGTCTTCTGAAGTGGCTTCAAAAATATTACAGCAGCTTGACAAGTTAGTCTCCCCTGGGGAAAAATCATGTAGTAAGTTGTCACCATCTATGCTAAATGGGCAGTCTCTTAAAAGCCCTGAGAATGTAGATTCTTCAAAATTTTTGGACATGCATGCTAATGACAAGTTGAGTGGTTCTCACATGGTACTGCCTGATTCTCATGACTCTATGTCTTACAACCGTGATAAAGCTAAACGAAATGGATCAACAATGTTGGTTGCCCTCTCTGATAAGTCAGTTCATGCAATGAGTGGTATAGATACTGGTAGTTTAATGAATGATAACAATGAGCCTAATGGTAAAGCTTCTGATTCCACTGTGATCAAGTCTGCCATACAGCCACCTCAACAAAAGAGACGGGGTTTTCAGATGAGTGCAAATGAGGTATGCGTTAATGGGTAAACAAATATAATTGATGTATTATATCATTTGTGGTTAGGACTTTTGGGTGATAAAGAGTAGCATATTAATGATCAAATTTCCTTCTGTTACTTCTGCCTATCAAGTGCTATCGTTTCGATTCAAAGATGCTAAAAGAAAAGTCTTTCAATAGCCACTTGCAGATTGTCAAAGGAAATTGATAAGCTTCATTGTTATTTCAGTCATTATGTTTCCATTTTTATAACTTCAAAAATTTATGGTCTATCACAGGATTATCTGGATCTGGATGATGATGGGTATCCTAACGGAGCTGCATCTGCTACACTTGGTAAAGTAAGTAAGGGTGCTGCTGCTGCTATATCCGTAGAGAAGCCTAAGGTTGCCACTTCATCTCTTCCGGCAGCATTGTTGGCATCTCAGTCAACTTCAACAGCTAAGGAAGATTCTGCCTCGGAGGAACCAAAGGTCACTTCTATGCTTAGCATCCAGGAGAAAGTTGCATCAGCTAAGCAGTCAGATGTTGCTACTTCCATATTTCGCTTTGCCTCTGCCGATGTTGGTGAAATTTCATCAGCTAGTGAACCTTCAGGTGCTAAGTTACCTGCAAGTTCAGACTCAAAACTGGAGAACACAAGCAGGTTGGTGTATACATCCAATTACTCAACATTTCTTGCTTGGAAAGTCTTTTACTCTGCCTTCTCTTTCCCTTCCTTTCTCTCTATGCCTCACAACGCAGGCATTGTACATGGAATTACTAACAGTGGGTTCAGTGGAATAGACTGAGGGACAGTTAATTTCAAGGGAGTTAAAGATTACCATGTTTGGGAGTTAATAAAAAAGGGGGGGATGTAGGAGGTGATACAATCAATTCCACCACCCTTGTGACGTCACTTCGAAATTTTGTGAAATCCTACCACTTTGAAAGTAGAGTATAACATTTAATGATTTTTGCTTGGATCCTCCTAAGTTTTTCGTAAAGACTCAACCAACTCCTTTTCATTCTCAAACATGGTAAAGGGAGGTTTATTCTATGCTTATTTTTCTTACCTTCCACCATTACTTTACCTTCTTTTACCTTCAATCTTTTACCTTCAATCTTTTACCCACACTACCTTGAGGTTAAGAAGAAAAATAATGGGGAAAATTTTCCTCGTCAGATTAATAAAAGCTGCTACTGTGACTTTGGAAATAAAAAATCAGGATTATGGTGATCGACATTTGATTGTTGTATTTCTTGCGTCACTTTGGAAATAGAAAATTTTCCTCGTTAGAATACTTTATCCTGGACTTAACTTCCAGGACAGTAGTTCACAAGGTTTGCTTGGTGAGGTTGAGGTGTGCAACAAGAAGGTTAGTTTACATTTTATTCAAACGTGCTGGGTGGATTATTTTGAACACATCTCGTATATAGAGTACACTACTTTACGGTTTTAACTATTAAAGACCTAATCTTTCTTTTGTTGGTGGGAATGCAATTTTGTTAGTTGAGGTTGCGACTTGGGAGGATTGGAGTGTATAGACAGTATAAATGATTTTGTAGCGGCATACTTAAATTACCGTTATTCTTTTATAAAGACTTAAAAATATAATGACAAATTTTGTCATTGAGCAATTATTTTGAAATGGTTAACTACATATTCGGTGCTCCAATTTATATCCATTTCCTTGATTTGGTACCTAAAATTTAGTATTGAATTTCAAGTTTTTAATCTGAAGTGTCAAACTGAGAATTTGACTGTAATGTATGCATCGAATTTAAAATTAACCCAATTGAAATTGTTGCCAAGACTTAAGATAGTGATGATAATAAATAAGGTTCGAGTAAGAAATCAGGTGTGATGATAAAAAGGTGGGCATACCTAATCAATCTACCTCTAGTCACTTTCTTCTCACAATGCTAACCACCACAAAATATTGCTTTTTTTTTTTGAATTGAAAAATATTGCTTCTTTTGTAAACATCAGCGTATGAGAATTTATTGTTTAAACCCTTTTCTGTTTAATATGCAGTTTTGCTACTACTGCTGCTGGTACAACCAATTGTTTGGAGAATAAAATTGAGAACACTCCAACTGGGATCTTATTCAGGCCCCCTGAAACAACTATATCCACTTCTGGATCAACTTCGATGTCAGCTGGAAGCATCTTCAAGTTTGATACCTCGAAGAATAGTTCTACTTTGAATAATGGGTCTCTTGCTTCAAGTCCTTTTTCTTACACTTTGCCAACACCATCTCTAATCCCCAATAATGGTCAAAGTTCATCCTTTGGTTCTATTAAACATGTATCCAGCGCAAACAGTGACCCTTTTGATACTGCCACCGCATCCACTACTGCCAATGTCACCATTAGCAGTACAAGCAGCAGCCCCTCACTTGATGCTTCAGTCTACCTAACTACTGCTGCACCTGTTTTCAAGTTTGCATCCTCTGGGTTCCCATCAGCTGCAGTTTCAACCTTATCTGCAACTTCAAGGGAAGCAGTTGAAGTGAAGACCCAGGATACAAGCTCCGGCAATGTTGGCCTTTTTGGTAGTAATTCTGCTTTTACTAGCTCTGGAAGTAATATTTTTGGTGGTTCATCTGCGGTTACAGGCACTAGCAGCACTTCTGGTTGTACAACTGCTATAATTACAAGCGCTGAAAGTAGTAGGCCCAATGATACATCTTCCAACATCACAAACTCCGGAAGTGGCTTTTTCAGCAGCACAAACACAGTGACAAACACAGGCAATGGTATCTTTGGTGGAACATCAGTAAATACAGACGCAGGCAGGAGTACTTTTGGTAGTGCATCTTTGCCAATAGCTAGTACAGGGAGTAGTACTTTTTCCACTAAAGCTTCAATCTCTAGCACAGGAAGTAAAATCTTTGGATTCAGTGCTCCGGCTACATCTGGATCTACTATGCAGGCACAGGGTTTAAATCCTTTTAATGCTGTTAATACCCAAGCATTTGCTGCTGGCACTGGATTTGGTACCTCAACTCAAAGCACGCCAATTCAGTTTTCTTCATCTGGATCATCTTCCGCAGTTGCTGGGAATACTACCTTTGCTTCTGGCACTTCAGTGTTTGGGTCATCAGCATCTGTAGCTAAACCTTTTGGTTCAGGGGCTAGTTCTGGAATGAGTTTTTCCGCATCTGAAACAAATTCTTTGAGCTCTGGCAGTGGCATTGCTTCAGGCACATTTGGCTCCAATTGGCAAGCCCCTAAGTCGCCCATATTTGATTCATCAACATCATCAGGGTTCTCCTTTGGATCATCAGCTTCTGTTACTGCTCCTAGCACTGCACCTGCTCTCTTTGGGTCGTCCACTGGTGCCTCCTCAAACTCCATATTTTCTTTCACTTCAGCTATAGTTGCTACGCCTTCACAGTCTGTGTTTGGTAACACCAATCCGGGCCTGGTGCTTGGGTCAACTCCTGCTGCAGTTGCTATGCCATCGCAGTCCGTGTTTGTTAACACCAGTCCCGGCTTGGTGTTTGGGTCAACTCCAGCTGCAGGTGCTACTCCATCGCAGAATGTGTTTGGCAACACCAGTTCAGGCTTGGTGTTTGGGTCAACTCCATCTAGTAATAATGATCAAATGGAGGATACTATGGCAGATGACACTGCTCAAACTGCACCAACTGTTCCAACATTTGGTCAACCGCTAATCTCACCTCCTGCATCGGGGCCTCCTTTTGGTGCATCATACACAGCAGGAGCCACGTTTCAATTTGGAGCCCAACCAACCACATCACATAATCCATCTCCATTTCAGGCTTCTAGCAGTCAGGAATTTGGTGCTGGAGGGAGCTTCTCACTGGGCACCAGCGGTGGTGACAAGTCTACTAGAAGAATTGTGAAAGTCCGCAGGCAGCGGAAGAAGTAAAAAGGTTCCTCTTAATTATGATGGTAGAGGAGAAAAGCACCTGATGAACGTTGCTCTACGTGGTGTGGCCGTGCCAGTCTGAACTTTGAAAAATGGTGTCGGTTCTACACAAGCATGCGTATACAGTTTTCCAATCTTCTTATGGTTGTGGCAGAAGTCACAATTTGTATGGTGTTCCGAGTTAGTACCATAGTGAGAAAGAGAGTTCAATTAGGTGATATGAGTGATTTCATTCAGGTTTTGTGTACCCTTGTCTCTATTGTAACATAAAAGAAGGATAAAATGCTTATGACTTCATTTTTAGATATTCTTGATAAGAAGAATTTCACCGCTTGTTTTGCATTGTGCTTTAGGGTTTGATCATAGAAAATTAGATTTCTCTTATAATTATAAAGATCAAGACCAAACCTACTCTTTTATCATTCCCTGCTTTGCTTATTATTCCCTGTTTTCGTGAAGAGGTTGACGACAAAGAGAATGTGAAATGTAGGCAGAGTTGCGCACCATTATCGGAGATCCATGTGTCGTGTTTTCGGAAGATTTGAATTCTTGTACCCTCTTTGACCCTAACCTACTGGCTGCCTTTGAGCAAGCCGTGAAGGAGCATATGAAGATAGATGAAGAAGAGAGGAGAGCAAGAATCGAGCAAGAGAATGTTCTTGAGAAGGCAAGAACACTGGAAGGCAGTGATGAAAACACCAGAAAAGGAGCGGAGAAAAAGGCAAGAATCGAGGAAGACAGTCCTCCGATGGATCCTCTATTAGGTTTTGAAGAGAAGTGTCAGACCGAAGATGACGGGTCCGTCGTTCTTTTCATGACGACTCTCAAAGGAATACGAAAGACGTTCGAGGAGTGCAACAGCTTGCGGTTCCTAGAAAGTTTCAGAGTGATTTTCCAGGAAAGAGACGTATCGATGCATAGGGAATACAGGGAAGAATAATGGAGGATTTTGGGTGGGAAAGTGATGCCACCGAGGCTCTTCATTAAAGGGAAATACATCGGTGGAGCAGACCAAGTTGTTACTTTGCATGAGCAAGGGAAGCTTAAGTCGATACTTGAAATGGAGCTTGTGAAGGATGTGGAGGTGTTGTGTTTGTGCTTTGTTTTGTCTGCAATGGCAGTCATAAGATCGTTGCCGATGATGGGTTGTCGTCCAGTAAATGTACGAGGTGCAATGAGAACGGTCTCATTATTTGACCCCATTGCCCATGAATTTCTCCTTCTTACCTGCTCTTACTGTAGAACACTGATGTAAAATCGATTGATAAAATATATCACTATGTTGGCTGCCTGCTGTTGTAATGATACTCGTCTCTTAAGATGACACGTTATGCATTCATGTGTAATGTCCACATAAGACACAAACCTAAAGTTATGATTTCTACAGTATCAACTGCTCCCTCCAACATTAGCTTGTTGATTCCTTCCATTGTCATTTCGGGTACTAGGGTTAGCCCTAGCAGATCTAGAAATTTTTTTGAATGGCATACGTATATTAATAATATAAATTTTTTAATATGCTAAAATTTCAGGACGAGCACCATAGAATTTCAGGGTGCGCACACATATATTAATGAATAAAACTTCAAATTTTAAAAAAGAAAATTCAAATTCTAGAAATTTCAGGATAGACACATATTCACTACATTGGACACAATTTTAAATATTGTAAATTTGTTGAATTATTTTATTTTATCATCCATTGAACGAAATGCGTAAGTTTTGAGCACTTAAACTATTACCATATTATATCACATCATTATTTATGTTAAGTAAATGGTTAATAACTACGAGTAATCAAAACAGAAGTAAAATGTTAGCTACGATTTAAAAAATGCATAATGTCAAAAAATACTCATAACGTTTGATTATATAATCTTTTTGACTCATATTTTTTTTGAAGTATTATGACCCTAACTTTTATTTTAAGGCTAAAAAATCAAAATGTTTAACTAAATAATAACTTTGGCGCTCGTTATTTCCTTTTGGAGAATTTTGTCCCGTCCCTATATGTTTCATTTTAGGGTAAAAAGACATTTTATCTTAGAGTATTGAATGTTTGTTAACTAATTATTTTCATACACAAAAATATTTTTTCTCAAAATAAAACATGGGGCATGAAAATACTTAAAAAAATAGGGTTAAAATAATTAGTTAGTCGAATGTTAGAGATATTTTCTTGATATTATACCTTAAAATAGTTAGATAATTAAAATAAAACCACAATAATATATAGATGACCAGATAATCAAATATAATCAATTACTTATAAACAGGGATGGATTTAGTTGAAGGTGATCGTCTCCTTAAAAATTTAAAATTATATATATTTTAATTTTTTAATATACCCTTAAAATTTTATGAGTTCAAATCCACCCCTAAAATTTTATAAATTCAAATTCATCCCTTTAACCTAAATCATGCCGTCTCTGGTTATAAATCCACATTTAATTATTAAAATAGAATATATTGCTACATAAGCCAAATAGCCAATGACATTTGGCAAGCATAGTTGGAATTTAGTTTTAAAAAATCTTATAATATATAAAAGGAATATTTTATTCGGAGAAACCAACATGTTTTGATGGATAAAATCATAAAATAAAAGAGATAAGATGATGAAAAAGATGCCCCCATTTATATTATTATTTTAGTATAACAAACAAAGTGGGTGTCATTCTCAATCTCCAATCATGCTTTTACCTTACCCACCACGTTCCACGCGGATTGCTTCTCTTTTATTGCATTTCCCCTTTGTCCCCATCCCTTCATCTCAGCCGTCCGATTCTTCTTCCTTCAACCAATTAGCTCCACGCACGAGACCAATAATTCATACCAGCTTGACTGGGACCCGCCTAAATTAACTGACATTATTTTAACAAGCAATTATTGTTTTCTTTTTATTATTTGTGGTACTAAAAAATTACCATTAAAATAATGAAAGGTAAAAATGTTTTAACCGCAGAAGTCAAAGTCAAAAAGGGCCAGCAGGGTATGTTTGACCCACCGACCCCCGCAGGCCGTACAGTAATATTTTTTCTATTTAAGCTATTGCTTTGGATAATTCCGAACCAAGGATTTTCAACGATAGATATTTTGAAAGAGTTTACGATCACGCAGCGCAAAGGTACTCTCTTAATCTTATATCTCTGAAAGAAGAGTGGTGGAAAATGGATTTGGATTTGTTTATCGATATAAATTTCAATGTAAGGTTTCATGTACGAGTTTTAAGTGCTCCTTGTCATCCATTTTCTCGGTAAACAAACGCTACTGTCATCTTAAACATCTTCAAGCTTATGGGATTCTGCTATCAGGCTCATTTATCGCTTGATTAGATAGATTAGGCATCGACGGTGATGGTTTGAATTTTGAATTGAGTATAATTTTAATTTGAAATTATGATTGTTTTAATTCTATGCTTTACTCATGAATGGATACGGTCTTTTCTCTTGAATCCTACATTTTACTTTTCTGCGTTTCACAAGGGATCAGATTCGTTCTACACTTTTCGAAGTTTGGGAAACTGGAAACCTTTACTGCCCGCTGATATGTGTCTGTTATTAGAATCTATAAACACAAATTCTGGAAAGTGCTTGGTTATTCTTTCGGTTTATGATTTGCTTTTAATATATATATTGGATTCGTTGCACTTTTTCCATTTTAAGAATTCGTCAATTCGTTGGCTCCAAGTTCCAACTGCTTATAAAATTGAAGTGATGAAGTTAGAGAGGACATGAAATGTTCTAATCTTAGGAATTTCTGATTAATCATCTATAATTTGTGGATTTTGTTTAAATTGTTGTGTATTACAGAATTAAGGGATAAACACGATCGGTAGAATGGCTCTAGTTGCAGGAGGACGTCGACATTGAACCCCAATGCCCCTCTCTTTGTCCCTGCTGTTTATCGCCAAGTGGAGGATTTCTCACCAGAATGGTGGCAATTAGTGACGACAACGGCATGGTACCAGGACTATTGGATCAGCCAGCACCAGGATGAGGATGGCTTCTACGACAACACCGAGGATGATGTCTCCGATGGCAACGACATCGTCGATTGGCTCGCGGATACTTTTGACCCTGTCACCGATGAAGATCTCCAGTTCGAAGAGTTCATCCAGTCCCACGAAATGGAAACCATATTACCAACAAATGGTGGTAAGAATAAGCTTTGCTTTGATAAAAAAGAAAAAAAAAATGAATGAGCTTTGCTTATTATCTTCAAAACAAAGAAAAATGTTGGTACTTGGAAGATCATTGAAGTTATATGTGTATCATTTATTTGCTTGAAATAGGCATTGAAAAGGATGCTGAATCCGTGATGAAGAATCTGAGTTTGTTGCAATCAAGTCCCAGGTATTCTGCAGAACCGGCGAAATACGCTGAGAAGCCGGCGAAGAATATGAACCCAAAGAGCAGCCCTCGGTGCATCCATCAGCCTCGCTGAAGGTGTCTATTAGAGAGCAGGTTAATCTGTGAAGCATCTCAATAGTGGACAGTGTAACTGCAACATCAACATGTCTAGAGAGAACATGGTTGTTAAATAACTATGGTGTCAGAATTTGATCATATTCATGTCTTTGTTTACGAAAAATTGAAAAATGTAAAAAAAAAAAAAGATTAAAAATTTTAGTGAAAGAAAACGAGAGAATTATCTTTCATCATCTCACCGTGGATTCGCTTTTGCAGTCTATATGTCCATGTTAGAAAGACGTCAATTTGAGACATTTCACTTATATATTAGAAAAGATTAAATTATTTTACATTGAAAGAATTATAATTTATTAAATAATCAAATTAAAAAATAAACGGGATAAATTTTTTATTTAATTAATATTTAAAAACTATACTAAAAAAACTGAAAAGAGGGACCTTAATGACTCCCGTCCCTCATTGTACCTACTGATTTTTTATTTGGTTAAAATTATCATTTCATTACCGGCAGAATCATACACTGGGACTTAAATGAATAAGATAAATCATGAGTTACTCGATATTGATTCGATCAAAATTAGATAAATATTAACTCTTAACGAGCAGAAACAAGTTACTTGATACTCGACTGGAAAAACTCGCGAGCAACTCGAGAATATAATATATTAAAATTTTATTTTTTAAATTGAATTATTAATAATATTAACATTTATATGTTGATTTTTTAGAAAAATATAGTATAAGTTGTGATGTATTTAAGGTTCAGGTTCGAATTTGAGTTTTGAACTCAAATCGAGTTAAGTTTAAGTTTTTTTCATTTCAAGCTTTTACGAGTTTTAATTCATGGTTTTGAGTTCGAATCGAGTCGAACTTATTTCAAAGTTTTAAGTCGAATCGAGCTCAGTACTACTCGAGCGACTCGACTTTTACAACCCTAAACACGAAAATATTAACACATGTCTCATTAAAAATAAGTTTAACTTCTTTAATTTGTTAGTAAATGAATAATAAAAATTATAAACGATTGCTAATGTTTTTTTTAATCATAAAACAAATTCATTGACAAGGAAAATCAGTATAAAAGTAAAAGGTCCAAACATTTGACTATAAAAATTTTCGTCAAATTTTAATTATAAAATTTTTAATTTGTGTATATTTTTAATTTTATTATTTAAATAATAAAAATTAAGTTATTTGTTATTAACATTTGTCGAAGAAAGTGGTGTGACAGTTAATAAATCAATGTAATTATATATTTAACCTTAGTTATTTATACATTATATCAATTTGATTCTAATTGTTTGTTAAAATCTTTTCTAATATTTGATTCAAATAAATTCAAAGGAGAAACTATTTTTTTATAAATTCTAAAAAACTGTAATTAAATTCTCAATTAAATATTATTTAATGATTATGAATATATAAGTATTTCATTAAATTATTTAAAATATTAACATAAGTGACTTAATTTATTAATATAGAAATTAAATGATGTAATTTGACTAAATTAAAAGTTTGTGATTGAAATAAAATTTATTGTTCTAAAATGTAAATTATCAAGAGAGAGAGAGAGAAGAGAGAGAGAGAGAGAGAGAGAGAGATGTGTAAAACTATAATAAAAGCCCAAACATCTTATTAGAACTTAATTTGAGTCCAGACAGACCCAATATACCCCCCAAAACCCAACCTGTAAATCGTAAGTATCTTTTATTTTTCCTACTAAAACCCTAAACCGAAAGGAAAAGGAGAAGAAGAGCACCACCATGCCTCGCTCGAGAAGGCACAGGGGAAAAGACAGGCGCAGGTCTAAAACCAATGAAGGAGAGCCAAGCGCTAAGTATTGTCTCAAAAAACCGGTGTTTCCAGCTGATGCGTATTCTAAGTTTTCAAGCTTGGCTGCTTCTGCTGAACCGATGATAGTTTTTAACGAAAGTACTCCTAAAGAGTGGTTGAGAAATGTCGTATTTCCAGATAATTGGGATTCTATGATTGGAATGTTGGAAAAGGAAAAAGAGAAGAAGGGAAAGGACAAGGAGGAAGATGTGGATGGCCGCAAGCGTAAATTGGATGAATGTAGTGATAGAATTGTTCCAGTTGTTGCTAAGAAAACTGAAGTTGAAGAACCAGAAGTTGAAGATGATGTTGAGAAGAAGAATAAAGAGAATACCGGAACTGAAAAGAAGACCGAGGAGGAGAAGGGAATTATGGATGAAGATTATGTTGAGAAGAGGAATAAAGAGGACTCTGATGCTGAAACTGAAAAGAAGACCGAGGAAGAGAAGGGAATTGTGGATGAAGTTATGGTTGAAGCTGGTTCTCTTGATACAGACAAGTGCAAAGAGAGTGAGGAGGCTGTTGCTCTTGCTAACGATGCAGGGGATGATAGAAGTGAAAAGAACAAAGAGAGCGAGGAAACCGTTGCTGTCGCACTTGTTATTAGTGCAAACGACACAGGGGGTGATGAAAGTGAAATAAAGAAAACGAAGAAAAAAAAGAAGAGGAAAGGCAAAGAGAGTAAGGAAGCTATTGCTGTTGATGATAGAGCTAATGATGCAGGATCTATTGTAAGTGAAAAGAAAAAAGAATGCAAGGAGGTTGTTGCTGTTGCTAATAGTGCTAATGATACAGGAGCTGATGAAAGTGAAAAGAACAAAAGCAAGCAAGGAGGCTATTGTTGATAGTGCAAATGGTGCAGGGGTTGATGAATGTGAAATGATGAAAAAGAAGAAGAAGAGGAGGAGGAAAAGCAAAGAGACTGAGTAAGCTATTTCTGTTGATAATAGAGCTGATGAAAATGAAAAGAGCAGAGAGAGCGAGAAGGGTGTTGTTGTTGCTAATTGTGCTAATGATGTAAGGGGTGATGAAAGTGAAAAGAACAAAACGAGCAAGGAAGCTATTGCTGTTGCTAATAGTGCTAATGATGCAGTAGCTGGTGGAAGTGAAATGAAGAAAACAAAGAAAAAGAGGAAAAGCAAAGAGAGTGAAGAGGCAATTGCTGTTGATAATAGTGCTAATGATGCAAGAGTTGATGGAAGTGGAAAGAACCAAGAGAGCGAGGAGGCTGTTGCTAATAGTGCTAATGATGTAGTAGCTGATGAAAGTGAAAAGAACAAAGGTAGCAAGGAGGCTATTGCTATTGTTGATAGTGCAAATGATGCAGGGGTCAATGAAAGTGAAAAGAAAAAGAAGAAGAAGAGGAAAGGCAAAGAGAGTATTGCTGTTGCTATTAGTGCTAATGATGTAGGAGCTGATGAAAGTGAAGAACAAAGCGAGAAAGGAGGCTATTGATGTTGTTGATAGTGCAAATTGTACAGGGGGTGATGGAAGTGAAATGAAGAAAACAAAGAAGAAGAAGAAGAGGAAAGGCAAAGAGAGTATTGCTGTTGATAATAGTTCTAATGATGCAGGAGCTGATGAAAGTGAAAAGAATAAAGAGAGCGAGGAGGCTGTTGCTAATAGTGCTAATGATGTGAAAACTGATGAAAGTGAGAAGAACAAAGAGAGTGAGGAGACTGTTGTTGTTGTTGATAGTGCAAATGATGCAGGGGTCGATGAAAGTGAAAAGAGGAAAAATAAGAACACAGAGAGTAAGGAGACTGTTTTTGTTGTTGATAGTGCAGGTGATGTAAGGGGTGATGAAAGTGAAAAGAAGAAAAAGATGAAGGACAAAGAGAGTGACGATGCTATTGTTGTTGATAATGTTAGTGCTAATGATGCATGGAGTGATGAAAGTGAAAAGAACAATGTGAACAAGGAGGCGGTTGCTGTTGTTCTTAGTGCAAATGATGCAAGGGGTGATGGAAGTGAAAGAACAAAGACAGCAACGACGTGGTTGCTGTTGTTAATAGTGCAAATGATGCAGGGTGTGGTTAAAGTGACAAGAAGAAAAAGAAGAGGAAGAAGGGTGGCGATGAGAGTGAGGAAGCTATTGCTGTTGTTAATGGTGCAAACGATGCTGGGGCAGATGAAAGTGATATGAAGAAAAAGAAGAAGAGAAAAAGAAAAGATGCAGTAGAGGAGTAGAGGAGCAGGTTTCAGAACTTTCCATACAATTACTTGATCTATTTTCCCCCGTGTATTTTTGGCCTCTATTGGAACGTTTTAGTAGCTTTTGGAACAAGTAGTTTGAATGATTTACTTTTTGCGTAATTGAATGCTTCCAATACCATTATCAACAATATTTTTCTTCCCTTCTTCTTTATTCTTGGTGTGTCATCTCAACCTCATTTTCAAGTGGAATGTTAGCATTCTATTGATGATGTGAATTTTATGTAAAACCACTATTGCTGCTAGTTTCCTTTATATGGATAATGGATGGCATTTCGATTCTTGAAGAGTTTAACATTGTATGTTAAAGAACATGAGAATACCCTTTACATCTATGAATAACTGCAACTCTTGGATTTTTTTTTTTCATACTGTGATGAAGGTAAGTGGATCTCTTAACTTTTGGTTTCTTCCTTTCCATCTCCTTTTTGAGTAATGAAGAAGTTTTCCTGTACTTGTTCAATTATTAATATTTGTCTTGTTGAATTTCAGTTTGATTTTGGCCTTCTGTGCTGTCTTTGAACCATGTTTCTGTCATGGATTATTTTGGGATGAGTTATGTTACATGGAGTTGGTGAAGGACTGGAGTATTGATGAAGCATCTTATCTGCATAGAAATTATGAAACATGACTTGGCTGCTACTATCTTCTTGAATGACTGAAATTGTATTAGCCTAGATAAGACCCTTGAAAGTATAGTTTGTTGTGGATCAATGCCAAGAATGCAGGATCTAACTCTGTTCTAGGCTTTGGTTTTTGCCTCCTTGAAATTGCCGGAAAATGCAGCTATCGGAAATCTATTCCTTCAATCTATGGCAGCAGGGGATAATGTTAAAGTTTCTGAATGTTTTTTCTTTGTTGCAGGTTCTGTTGGTGGCTTGGATTCGGAAAGATGGTTCATTGAACACTTAGTCGGCCAAAAAGGATCCTGTAAAGATCGAATTTCCAACTGCAACTCCAAGGCTAAATGGTAGAAATTCTCTAGAAGTTGATTAATCTCTACTTGGATTTGAAATTTTTAATTATTTTATTTAATAACGATATAAATATATACAAATATTTTTTATAATAATATTAATTATTAGTAAAATATATTTTAAATTGATACTTATTGTGAGCGGACTTGCTCACTCTGCACCCTCGACTTGATGGTTTTATCTTAATTTATTGTGTCAAATATCATGACACGTGTCGTCACCTGATTGGAAGATTTAATTTATTTTAATTTAATAGAGTTGTTTTCCACCAATGAGATGGTGGAAAGAAAATTGAAATTGTTGAAATGAGGGAGTGAAGGAATCAAACCTGGGTCTTGGGGATAAAATAACAACCCTCCAACCATTGAACCAACTAGATTAATTGATTCAAGATAGATTACATATGGTATATATTTTGTATATCCGTCTAAACTTATATTTTATTCTAAATTATTAAATCTATTTTATTCTTGTCTTAACCTAAAATTATGTAATGCCTCGGAACTCGGGTCAGTAGTTCGAGTTAACCCGAAACTCGTAAGTTAATTCAGTTAGACTTCTTAAGATAGTTGGACCAGTTCAAAAAGGGTATTGGGCTTAGGTTGGCCCAATAATTAAAGGATAATGATGTTTTTAAAAATGATTTAAAGGGAGAATGACAAAAAGTGTAGTTTACCCGTAACTTGTTTTAAAGGTTAAAAAACACCTTATCTCCCTTAGTTTTCACGTGAGTCATTCCCTAAAAATGTCTTCCATTTTCTTATTTTCCAGACTCTTCTTCTTCATTTCTTCTATTTAGTTAAGATCAAACTCTAAGGAAACCTAAGCCTAGATTGAAGCAATCAAGGTAAGAAGTCTATTCTTCATCTTCTAAACTTCCATTAGAGCTATAAACTTTAAGGTTTGGCTTAGTTTTTAAAAATGGGGTTTTATGGGTTTTTAGAAATCAAGTGTTTTAAGTCATTTTAGGAGAGTGTTTGAGTTGTAGGGAATATATCTAAGTTTTATCCAACACCTAGTTAAGTAAGTAGTCCATTTTTATACCTTGATTAGTTAAAGTGGTTGAAGAGATAGTTCAAGCCAGGGGAAAAAGAAGAGTGGATCCTAGTTGATTCAAGAAGTGTTCTAGCATCCAAAGAATCCAGGTAACACACTATTAGTTTTCCATACCAATTGTAGGATCTTCAAAAAGAAGTTTACCTTGAAAGTTGAGTATGAGCATGTTTATTAACCTTCCATGGTAGATTTTATGTTTAATGTTTTTAGCATGTTTCTAAATCTTATTTATACTCCTCTTTAATAACATAAGACTTTAAGAATGTTTGGGGACCTCACTAAGGTATTTGGGTTAGATAAATAAGAGATTTTCGAGTGAAAATGTGTTTTCTGCAAATGGAGCAATGATACTATAGGGATAATATTGATACTTGTTCACCATTCCAAGCAAAATGCTTGTTTTCTGGGTAAGAGTATCGATACTTTAGGAATAGTTTCGAAACTCCCAGGCAAGTATCGAAACTTGCCAGAACATATGACTAAAAAGTATCTGTACTTATATAAAGTATCAAAACTTTAGTAGGAGTATCGATACTCCAGGGATAGTATTGATACTTCAGTCTGTTTTAAGAAAAAGATCAATTTTTTAGGGATTTAGACACGAGGTACCCCAACACTTCATTATATCATCAAATAAGACTACAAGTGGAACGATATTAATGTTAATTAAACGTAGAAACCAAATAATTAGAGAAAATAAGACTAGCCCTGTTTGATGTTTGGGAAACGATTCAGACACTCGAGTTCCTTTAGAAAAGCTAATGGAGTCGAAAATATAGATACAATATGGATATATCCTTAAGTAGGGTGCAAGGCCCTTAAAATCGACTAAATAAGGTCGAGGTCTGACACTCGCAAGGGTGGGTTAGTCAGGGGTATGGTGTCTGATGCATAATTCTGGGAGCCATATCTCAGTAGACTAGAGGGGTGTGTGAGTTTCGAGATGCATAATCCCTCAGCTGCACCATGATGTCTACAGTAGCATAGAGAGTGAGTATCGCAAGGATATTCACTATGCAGATCATATCAGTATACTTGATAGCTAACCTTTCAGTGATATGCAGTTAGTATGTTTTAGCTATTAGTGTGTCGTTGAGCTAGTTAGCTCATCCTTCGTATTGTTTCCGTGGGTAGGTCAGTATATTCAGCAGGTAAGAGCAGTAGATAGACCAAAACCCAGTTCAGACTAGTGCAAATTCAGGCACGTCTCAACATTTTTGAAAGAGCATGTATATTTGTAAACTTTATTGTCCAGTTGAGTCGTAGTTTCAATAGAATAGTATGCATTATTTTTGTAAAGTGTAAATATTTTAATTTGGAGCTCCTTAGTGTAAATATTTTATTTATTCTTTAGTTTATTTTACAGTTATTTATATTTAAAGAAAGTAAGAAAAGTCGATGAGCCACTTTGGTGGTTCGTGTTACCGTGTAGTACCTTAAATCGGTCGATTGTGTGTCATACTAGTATAGAATTTTACAAATTATATTTTATTTTAATTTTAATTTAAAAATATATTTTAATCTTATCATAACTTAAAAATATATTTTATTTTTTATCTTAACTTTTAAAAATATATCTTATTTTTATTTTAACTTATTACATATATTATATTCTTAAATTAAATTATTTAATATATTCTAGTCTTACCTTAAATTATTAAATATAATTTATCCTTATTTTAACATAAAATATATATTTTATTCTTATTTTTATTAATATATATATATATATTATTTTTATTTAAAAATGTATATTTTATTTTTTATTTTAAAATATATTTTATTTTTATCTTAATGTTGAAATATTATAAGAATAAAATATAAATATTTAAGCTAAGGTGAGAATAAATTATTTTTTAAAGTTAAAAAAAATTAAAATATATTTTATAAGTTAAAATAAGAATAAAATATAAATATTTAAGTTAAGATAATAATAAAATATATATTTTTAATGTTAAGATAAGTTTAGACTAATATTCAATATACATAGCATATGTAGTGCATTTGAAACCCAAAGGTTTGTTTGGTTTAGTGGTTAAACTGCTACTTCACCTCCTAATTGTCTCAAGTGTGATCCCTCTCCTTCACTATTTTACCTTCTTTAATTTTCTTTTCACTAGAGGATGACACGTGACACCCTCTAATTTATGCAAAATAAAAGTATTAAATTAAAATAAATTAAATCTTATATTTCGAATGATGACATATGACACAATCCGATTTCAATATTAAATTTATTTTAATTTATTAAAATTAAGACCAAATTTATAGAATATATAAGTAAAAATGACCAGATGTATAATTATATCAATTTTACTAACTGTCACATCATCACTTATATTAACCGTTAACGGCTAGTTACTTAATTGAATATATTTAAATAGTTAGGTGACCCGATTGATAAAATTTTAAAACTGATAGTCAAAATGAAAAGAGACCATAGTTAAGTGGTCTACTGTGTAGTTTATTATTTTGATAAATAGAAAGTTGGTTTCCCAAAGATCAGAATCGTATCTTGTCGTTGATTTTGCTTATATTGGGCGTATTTTATTACACAATTATTCACGGACTCTATTCTGAATCTTCGGCCCTATGGGCACCTAATCTCTTTCACACATCCCAACGTTCACCCTATGGTTTCGCTTTCACCTTGTATTTAGCTGCTGCTGCTGCTGCTGCTGCTGCTTTCATTATATCAGCACAATATGGATGTATCTGCTTTTCTTTTCCCGGGTTTTCCTTCGTTTGTATTTGCGACTTTTGGGTTACCAAGGCTGGTTGGGTGAGTTGTAAAATTTGATATAATAGGCAGGCCCCTTTTTGAGTTTCTGGGCTTCTTTCCGTTTAGGTTCTTGACTCTCGTGTGTAGATGTGAATTGGAATTCTGGGGTTTCTATGATTTGTTTTGTAGATATTAAGAGAATTGGGTTCTTGTTGGTATTACAATCGAGGATTCTTCTTTGACTTGTTTCTTTTTGTAGATACTCAGAAAATTTTGTTACAAACTTTTACTTTTATCCCTTAATTGCGTCATACCATGTTCAAATAGGATTGCCTTTGATTCTGCTGATTTTCTTATATATTCGAATCTTCTCCTTTTCTTTTCGTTTAATGCTATATG